AGAGAGAGAGAGAGAGAGAGAGAGAGAGAGAGAGAGAGAGAGAGAGAGAGAGATGATTCTGGTCAGATCTGAGATCCTATCTTAGATCTGTTCTTAGTACTTCTGCAGATCTGAATAACTTAACAGTTTAAATTTTCAATTTTCATATTGCAAGGATCTGTGTCCTCGGCAGGCCTAAGGGGCCCTGTTGCGAATGTGCCCGCCCTAAGTGAAGGTGGGCCTAACAAAATCACGAAAGGCCCTCAGCTGTCAATTTCGTGTTTGGGGTCCAGGCAGTTTCGACGCGCCAGTTGGTTGAAGGAAATACAGGCCGAGCAGAAAGACATTCCAGGGCCTTCCAGGCCTTTCCAAAATGATGCAGGCCCTGGACGGGATTCGCAGGCTCATACACAGACAGTTGGGAGGCCCAACCGAACGAGGCCCAGTAGCTGCAACAGAGGTGCAGCATCCTGGGGCCTACTGGAAGCTTCTGGGCCCAGGCCCAAGCCAGCCAGGCCGTGAAGGCAGGCAGGCTCTTTCCATATAGGAAAGAGCTCGCTGCCTGGAGGAGATTGAGGCACTTGCTGGCTGGCGGCAGCGCTGCTGGAGCTTCTGNGAAGGCAGGCAGGCTCTTTCCATATAGGAAAGAGCTCGCTGCCTGGAGGAGATTGAGGCACTTGCTGGCTGGCGGCAGCGCTGCTGGAGCTTCTGCTTGCGTGCTGGCTGCTAGCGCTGGAGCAAGGTGCTGCGCACGTGCGGTCGTGTGTGGAAGCAGGGCACTGCTGAGGGCAGTGCCATAGCCCAGCCTCCATAGGTGGCTGAGGGCTTGGTTGCACAGTCAGGCGCAGGGGTGGTCCTCGGGTGTACTGAGGGAAGACGTGGGTGTAAGAAGAGGGAGAGAGAGAGAAGGATGATGATGATGTGAGGGCACATACCTGGTATTGGCGATGGTCTGCATTGGGCGACATCTTCAAGTACTTTGTGAGCTGCTCACTTCAACAGTTGCATTGTCAATTAGTAGGCAGATTGTAGCTGTGTAGGAAGTAGGCTGGGCGCCGAGCGCCAAGGAGGGAGATAGGGCCTGGAGTCCCTGGACACTCATGTTGGTGGTGGCGAGAGCTAGCTCTCATTGACATTGGTTTTCAGTGTTACGAATCTTCATTTGGTGTTATATTGGTGCATTTCTGCTTTCTGGACACTGTGATACTATTTGGCCTTCAATGTGATTGTGTATTCTGGTTATTTGTCATCTCGCTTCTGCTCATTTTCCTGGCAATTTGGTATCCGAGCTGGTTCGAACTGCGCTTCATTGATTCTTCGCAATAGGTGTGTGGTGCTTCGCAGAAAGTGTGGGGCAGTGATAAGCCTTTGGCGTTGAATGATTGGCGGCCCAGGGTCGTGTGGGCGCGCCAGGAAGCTATGTGGTGACATTAGGGGTGTACGCTGGATGATGAGAGCTCGCTGATGTAGCATTTACGTCGAGGTGGAACTGCATTCTGCTGTTGGTTGTGCCGAGGCAAAGATCGGTCATCATAAATGCACATCAGGTTGCCGGTGAGAAATCTGTGGTTGGGGGCAGCATTATGAGGTACGTTGCTCTCTTCCTTTTGTACCCTCTTCATTGCTTCTTACCGTGAGGAAGTGAGTTTTGTCTTGTGAGTCCTCTCAATGTGAGGTGTTGCGAGCGCTCAACCTTGAGAGTCGACATTCTTCCTGGGCAGCAAGCTGGTGGGAGATGGGTGGAGCCTCTTAAGGGCCCTGGATGAAGCACTCGGGTCACGGTCACCATGCTAACCCGCTGGGACTAATACACACATGCATTGCCGCAAGTCCTTGGTTCTGCTGCTGCGCAATAGAGGTCATGCAGGGCATGCCAGCCCTTTGGACAGACACTTACCAGACCGTCTTTAAATATTTCTGGCGGGGACTCGGTGTTGATTCTGGCTGTGATTGTTGTCCTGTCTGCGACGTTAAATAATTCCTGAGGACCTTGGGGGCTGTCCTTAAACGACCTCTTGATCAGCCAGATCAAACCGGGTGTAAGGCTCGTTGGATGCGAGGATAAATAAGGTGCAGGGGATGGCAGGTTCGGCGTAGACTTGGGGCACAGGGTTCGACCGAATTGCACACCTTCAGACACGCTACTCAACCAGATGCTTAGGACGTCGACACAAAGTGACTACTCAAGAGGGATATAGGGGGAGGGTTGGATTCCGGTAACTGTTCGCTGAGGCATTAATCAGACAAGCTGGCATTCAGCATACGTCTCTGCAAGAAATATTATTTCTATTTTTGATTATTTAGTTGTTACAGACTTGACAGACAACTAACAGACAACTGCAGATAGATAGCAATCCTTGCTGCATGCAATCTGTTTCAGAGTAATCTAAAAATAGATTTAGTATTTCCTGTAGGACCTGACATTGATTGTTGGTTACCACTTGACTACTTCTCTTTAGGTTGACCGGAAATAGTTGATTTGTTCATACCCGGTTGTGTGTCATGTTGAGGTAGGATTCAGTGTGGACTCTAGTTTAGATCACACACACTGTAGCTCATGAGTGATGCAGGCGGTAGTGAGGAGGAGGAACAAGTAGTGGAACGTCTTAGAGTGACTCGTAGAACTGCACTCAGTTAACCGATTACCTTCTTGGAGTTAGGCCAGGGAGAGGAAAGGCGGCTGCGAAGGGAAGCCAGGGAAAGGACGATATGAGACAGGGCTAGGACAGCGGCAACCAACGCTGAACGAACACTTGCAGCAGCAAGACTAGCGGACGCTAGAGTTCAGGTTGAAGTTGCAATGGCTACCTCCTCTACAGTGTCACAGGCCTTGTCCCAGGCCTCTTCGTCAGGTGGCAGTCAGGGTATCTCTCAGAGTTCTGTTAGTCAATCTGTCGGCTCACAAGTCAGCCAACAGATGCCACTCACACCTGAGGATAATGAGATCCTCCAAGCAGAAGAACTGCATGATCAACTACAACAGCAATTGAGAGATGAGCAGAGAGGAGACAAAGGGCTATCACTAGAAAAGCTAGACTAGGAGCCAGGAGCAGGAGTTAAGAAATCTAAAGGCACTAGATGAGTCGACACTTAACCCTGCAATGCAAGCGCTACGTCGCTCACTCCTTTGTGTGGCAGAAACGCAGGTTGTCCAACAGGAAGTGCTGGCCGAACTAGCGGACGGCCCAAAACGAATTATGGCTTCACTGCAGGCTCCTCGTCCAATGATGAGGTAGCCTCGATATGTTGTAGCTCCCCCTTCGGCTGCGGGTCCCTCAGTGACGCCGTCACCGATACGGCCCTCTTTCTCTCCTATGTATGACATTCCTCTTTCAGGTAGTCAACCAATAGTCAGTGGTCAGGTTCTGATTTCTTCTCCCGTACCATCGAGGACGGTGGCAGCTACAATGCCATTGCCTGGACAGCCGCAGGTTAGTGTGCAGCAACCTGTCTCGGCGGGCCATGCAACCACTGCACCAATCGCCTGGGCAGGTCCAACCTATGCAGTGGATGCCCAAGATACCCTTGTTGAGTCCCAAGCCCTTCTCTGGCGACAGGAAGAAGGACAAGGTTCTAGAGTACCTGGGTGAGGATTGTGCCTACCTATGTGAGGCACAAGCTGACCAGGCCAAAGCAGGAAGTCATAGTTGTTGCTTCTTTTGTAGAGGGATTGGCAGCGCGTTGGTTGAATGGGTTAGTACAACAACAGGGCTACAGTCAGAAATGCTTGTGCCCATGCCCAGGCATTGGAAGACTTTGTACGGACTGTGTATAATAGTGGCATGACCCTCAAGGGGCTCAGAAGGCCACCGACGCGATCAACAATCTTTGTGTGAAAAGGTACAAGAATGTTCGCGAACTCACAAACACCGTAGAACGACTGCTTGTGGTACCTGGTGTCCGCTACGACCAGCAGGTTCTCCTTAGAGATTACCTGAGATGTCTGCCTGCAGAGGTAAAGACTAAGCTGGTGGATGAGGCCTATGTTGACCAACATAACTTCGCCTCTTTTAGCAAGAAAGCCTTAGATATAGAGGCAAAACTTGGGTCCGCGCATCAGAGTCAGGGAGATGGTAGGAAGAAGAAACTTCCCCAGGACTGGAAGAAGAAAGGTCAACTAATGTTCGTCAACCATGATGGTCAGACGACAAAAATTGACGACTTTCCAGACTATGGGGACGAGACAGAGCATGATGGGGCCAGCGAGACTTCGGATGGGGGAGTTGTGGCTCCTATAAAGGAAAAAGCTAGGGGGACCGGGAGGAAGAAGGTAGGTTGGTCTACGGGGCAGAGCGACCAAGGAACACCCGCATGGGTAAAACTTGGTTTAGATTACGAGGTATGGAGGGACCGAGTTACCAGGGGCACATGCATGAATTGTGGCAACTATGGCCACACATCAAGAACTTGCCGAGGCAAGAAGGTCACCACGAGGGTAGCCGCTCCAACGGTAGTGGGCTTATCCTCGAACCCTGGCAGTGCTTCTGCGAGCACTTTGCAGGGAAACACCTCGGCCCAATAGGAGTGTTAGCCGCTCGTACTCGCGCTGAAGTGGTAACGTTGCCTTCCCCACTTCAGGTGTTGGCCAAGGCTAGTGACCCATACATCGCCCCACATACACATTCAGACCCACCGACACTCTGTTTGAGAGATGTGTCTGAGTCCCTAGAAGAGTTACAGACTGAGTGGTCAGGGAAGGACCCCAGAGACTCTTGGGCGATGATCAGTAGAGGTCCTAAGGGTGAACATTTCATGGTAGAGGTCAATGTAGGTGGCTGCAAAGTGGGTACCTTCGCAGACATAGGCTTTACACAAAATTTCATTAGTCGTGATTGTGTGGACAAATTGCGCTTAGGGAACCAAGTGCAGCGGCTCAGCAGAACTGTAGCTTCTACGCTAGCCAACAAGCGCCAAATGGTAGTAAAAGACTATGTCAAGGACGTAGTCTGTTCCTTCTCTTATGGAGGAAGGGAAGTGAGACACAAAATCTCATTCCTCGTTAGCGACGAACTGCCCTTCGATATGTTACTAGGCATGTACTACCTCGAGGTTGTTCAACCTCAGTTCGATTGGGATAGAAAGATGTTAATCCATAAGCTGCCCAACGGTAGAACCGTTAGATTGCAGAAGTTCAAAGCTAGCAGTTTAGTGGAAAACTATTGGTGCATGTGCGCAACTTCCTTCTATAACTACTATGAGCAGAATCGCAAGGAGGGAATGTATCTAGTCTTTGTGTCTAAGAAAGGGGAGGCCGTTAAAACACCCCCAGAGATAGAATCTGTCGTCGCACAATATTTCGACCGTTTTGAGGAGCCCACGGGCGTGGTGGAAAGGGAGGTGGTCCATGCGATAGAGGTTGTGCCAGGTAGTAAGGTGCCTAGTGGACGAATCTATAGAATGTCTCCTGTGGAGTTGGATGAGCTCCGCAGCCAGCTCAAGGAACTCACAAAAAAGGGATGGATTCGGCCTAGTACCTCCCCATACGGTGCGCCAATCTTATTTGTCCCTAAGAAGGGAGGTACCTTAAGGATGTGCATTGCCTATCAGGGCCTCAATGTCATCACCGTTAAGAACGCAGAGCCCCTACCCCGCATCGACGACCTATTGGATAGAGTGCATGGATGTCAGTACTTCACAAAGATAGATCTAAAGTCCGGATACCATCAAATTGCCATTAGACTTGAGGACCAACACAAAAACGCCTTTCAGACCAGGTACGGTTTGTACGAGTTTGTGGTGATGCCCTTTGGCTTATGCAATGCACCTGGAACATTCCAACACACAATGAACATGATTTTTCATGAGTACTTAGACAAGTTTATCGTCGTGTACCTCGACGGTATTCTTATCTTTAGTAGGACTGTAGGGGAGCACGCTGAGCACTTAAAAATAGTGTTAGATCTCCTAAGACAACACCAGTACAAGGTAAACTTGGAGAAATGCGAGTTCGGTCACACCAAGGTCTTGTACTTGGGTCATGAAATCTCCGCGGATGGGTTGAGGCCGGACGATGCCAAAGTGACCACCGTACGGGACTGGCCCAGGCCTCAGACCGTTACTGAGGTCCGATCGTTTTGGGGGATGATAGGCTACTATCGTCCGTTTGTTAAGAATTGTAGTACTATAGCTTCCCCATTAACATATCTAACTCGACTTGATACCCCTTGGAAGTGGACTGAAGAAGCTTGAAGAAATTGAAGTATGCTATGACACATTACGAGGTCCTCAAACTTCCGGATCCTGATAAGCCGTTTGGTGTGACCACAGACGTCAGCCAATATGGCATAGGCGCGGTCCTTGCGCAAAAGGAGGGGCCAAAGTTGAGACCCATCGAGTATATGTCGTCTCAAAAGCTAGCAAAGTCCACGTATGAGCGTGAGCTCTATGCCCTCTATAGAGCATTGGTTCATTGGAGACACTACCTCCTAGGCGGATTCTTCTACTTGAGATCTGACCATGAGACATTGTGTTGGATCAAGACATAGCCTGTACTCTCTGACGCACTTAAGCGGTGGATTCAAGTGATAGACATGTATGACTATCAACTTGATCCAATCAAGGGAGAGTACAACAAAGTGGTTGATGCACTATCACGAAGGGCAGATTATCTGGGCGCACTAGTGACTGAGTTTGGTATATCTAACGATGTAACTCGATCCTTGGTGGAAGCCTATCAGCAAGATACAATCATGTCTGAAATCATTCGTAGATTTCAAGCGAAGGATAAGGTAACCTCCGATGAATTTATGATGGTAGATAACTTAATGTTTCTTGTGAAGGCAGGGAATAAAAGACTGTGTGTTCCGAATAGCGAGTCTTTGCGTAGTTTAAGTTTAGGAGAATGTCATGATGCAACTGGTCATTTTGGTTATAAGAAGATTTCAGCTAACTTAGTGCAGAGATTTTGGTGGCCCTCTATGATGCAGGATGCAAAAAGGTACGTAGAAACCGGCCAGGTTTGTCAACGGGACAAACCTTGGACTCAGGCTCCGTTGGGGCTTCTCAAGCCCTTGCCGATTCCTGAAGGTGCTGGTCAGAGTGTGTCCATGGACTTCATGGATACTCTTGTGACCAGCAGGACAGGCAACAGGCATATCTTCGTTATAATGGACCGTTTTTCTAAGTGTGCAAGACTTATCGCTATGCTAGAAACTGCTAAAACTAACAATGTCATCAAACTGCTCCTAGAAAACTGGGTAGGCGATTTTGGACTCCCTACGTCTATAGTACGTGATAGGGACGTAAGATTTACTAGCGAACTGTGGCAATCAACAACTGAACAGATGGCCACAAAGCTCCAAATGACGTCAGGGAATCACCCTTAGTCAAATGACCAAGCAAAACAAATGAACAAAGTAGTACAACACATGCTTCGTTATTATATTAAGCCAAGTCAGAACGACTGGGACGAGAAGTTACCTCTCGTGGTCTCGTGGCCATCTGAACAACAACGTTGTACACAGTACTACCGGCATGACTCCCAACCAATTGCATCTCGGTTGGAAGCCCATAACTGCACTTGATTTTCTGCTACCCGAAAGGCAGCCCACTGCAGCACCTGACAACATAGAGTTTGCTGTTAAGTATGAACAAATGCTTCAGAAGGCCGTTGAACATATTCAAAAATCTCAGGAGTCCATGATTGCATCTTAGAATAAACATAGACGGCCCTCTAACATTCAGGTAGGTGATAGAGTCTGGGTTAAGTCATCTGAACTGGGTCAGGAGCTGGGCATATCTCGTAAACTGATGCCACAATATTTCGGTCCGTGGGAGGTCTTAGATATAGTGGGGATCAGATAGACGAACCTTCTTATGTGATTCACGTCCCACCTCATCTACGTACACATCCAGTTTTCCACGCTTCAAAGCTGGCACCTTTCGCAGAGTCTGCACAGTTTCCTTCCAGACGGTCAATGCTGCCCCCAACCATGGATGGCGAAGTTGACATCGACGGAATTGTAGAGCATCGAGTGATGCCAATGCCTAAACCACCGGGCAGAGGCCGCCCTCCTAAACTGAGAATGCAATACCGGGTCAGATTCAGACATCATCTGGATCCCAAGGAAGATCGGTGGTTCACCAGAGAAGAACTCATGAGAACAGCACCTCAAGTTGTCGCAGGTTACAAAAGAGAACCAAAGGGGAAGATGCCTGCAGATTAGAAGACTTCTCAGAGGACTATCGAAGAAAAGGAGGGAATGCGAGGATCTGTGTCCTCGGCAGGCCTAAGGGGCCCTGTTGCGAATGTGCCCGCCCTAAGTGAAGGCGGGCCTAACAAAATCACGAGAGGCCCTCAGCTGTCAATTTCGTATTTGGGGTCCAGGCAGTTTCGACGTGCCAGTTGGTTGAAGGAAATACAGGCCGAGCAGCAAGACATTCCAGTGCCTTCCAGGCCTTTCCAAAATGATGCAGGCCCTGGACGGGATTCGCAGGCTCATACACAGACAGTTGGGAGGCCCAACCGAACGACGTCCAGTAGCTGCAACAGAGGCGCAGCATCCTGGGGCCTACTGGAAGCTTCTCGACCCAGGCCCAAGCCAGCCAGGCCGCGAAGGCAGGCAGGCTCTTTCCATATAGGAAAGAGCTCGCTGCCTGGAGGAGATTGAGGCACTTGCTGGCTGGCGGCAGCGCTGCTGGAGCTTCTGNGAAGGCAGGCAGGCTCTTTCCATATAGGAAAGAGCTCGCTGCCTGGAGGAGATTGAGGCACTTGCTGGCTGGCGGCAGCGCTGCTGGAGCTTCTGCTCACGTGCTGGCTGCTAGCGCTGGAGCAAGGTGCTGCGCACGTGCGGTCGTGTGTGGAAGCAGGCCGCTGCTGAGGGCAGTGCCATAGCCCAGCCTCCATAGGTGGCTGAGGGCTTGGTTGCACAGTGAGGCGCAGGGGTGGTCTTCGGGTGTGCTGAGGGAAGACGTGGGTGTAAGAAGAGGGAGAGAGAGAGAAGGATGATGATGATGATGATGATGATGTGAGGGCACATACCTGGTATTGGTCTGCACTGGGCAAAATCTTCAACGTCAACAGTTGCATTGTCAATTAGTACGCAGATTGTAGCTGTGTAGGAAGTAGGCTGGGCGCCGAGCGCCAAGTAGGGAGATAGGGCCTGGACACTCATGTTGGTGGTGGCGAGAGCTAGCTCTCAGTGACATTGGTTTTCAGTGTTATGAATCTTCATTTGGTGTTATATTGGTGCATTTCTGCTTTCCGGACACTGTGATACTATCTGGCCTTCAATGTGATTGTGTATTCTGGTTATTGTCATCTCGCTTCTGCTCATTTTCCTTGCAATATGAATATGAATTCAAAGTTCAAAGTTCTGTTTTTTTCTGATTTTCGGACTCTTTTCTGAAGTGACTTGGGATTGGCCTGTTGAGAACTGGTTTCAAGCGTTGTGTGAGCCTTTGTGAATGTCTGTGACAGTCTTGAGCTGTCAAGTTGGGAATAGTGAAAGACAGTAAGCTGTGGTTAATACCGCTTATTACTAAGGTTTTTTTTTTTTTTTTTTTTTTT